CAATTTGCCATGGCGATCATGGAAGCAAAAAACATATTCGATGTACTTTTGCTCACCAATTCTTCGGATGGCACTCTCCCTCAGGACTAGTTTATGAAACTCCATATCCTCAGAAGTATTTATTTCACATCCCTCATACTTGTCTTTGCTGATCTTGCATCTCACAACTAAAATCTCTTCATCCCTCATGTCCCTCTTCTATCCCAAGTTTCAAATTTGACAAGAGATAGGGAAGGAAGAAGGGACAAGGAAATTTTTGATAAGTTCCACACTTAGAGGGAACCAACAACTTTTAGACTCAAGACTTTCAAATGCTCGATCTATATTAATTACTGAGATTCCTAATGTGGGAGTCTGTCACCGAGTTACCACTTGTTCATATGTAACACGGAACGTCGCAATAGACAACCACTGCTCGGACACTTGAGAATGGTTTTACCTTTGATAATTTGCTATAGGGAACTCTCGACAATGAACCAACCGCTAACAGTTGTTGTTGAGACCTACTGTAGGCATTCTGCTACAGGACTTATCAACGAAAAATATGTTGTTAAGACTCACTGCAAACTGCACTGCTTCGATTCGCTTGACTGCTTGTTGCCTAGGTTTACTGGAAAAACCTGCTAGAGAAAGTTGGGTCCTTTTTATATACTACGTAGGATTTATGTCCCATAACTTTATTAAACGGTCTCTGTTTATACTTGACATAGAGTACAACCGACGTTGGATTACAAGAGTCACTGCACACAGACCGTGCTCATTTATAGGACAAAGAACAACTTAATCGCATGCAACGCAGAGCACTACTCAAGGAGGTCATCGTTCAAACACTATACAATGTACCGCTAATGGTAATGACCGATCAAATACCTCACAGGTTGTTGCTCATGTCAAAACCCATTCCAATACAGCACAAGGTACCACTCCCAGTATACTCGGGTCCCTCCAAGACAATGGTTCTTCGATTAGTCCACAGGGCAACTAGAAAGTCATCGTAAGATTCAGATAAAAGAAGGCTTTCAAGTGTCGTTTTCTACAGAGTAATAATAAGAGGGATAAAGAAAAACTTAATGATTATATTTGGCAATTATCTAATCAAAACATTGGAAACTGTTGAGAACTCAAGTGTCGGCAGACCATTCCGACTCGAAGTCGGCCTCATAATTCCATCAACTTTGAAATACCACTAAAAATGCCTAACCTGATGAGTGCGCCTTATTCGCAATTTTCTCATACTTTATAAGACAATTTCGGGATTGGCCATAAACGCGAAGGGGGCTAGTTTGTTATGTCTTCTTTGTATATCGCACTATTGAAATGGTTATTCCCCGTTTCGCGTTCTACGCGGAGAATTGTCAGACACCCCAGTTACCTCTACCACGAAATAACCGGTGTGCAAGAGTCGTGCGAGCTCAGGCGCTGCAGCATGATACTTGCAAGGAAGGAAGCGAGCATACTTGCTCAAACGGTCAACGACCGTGAGAATAC